CGTCTGAAATTGCAAATCGCTTTGTAATTTCCTTTCTGTCAGCAAGCGAGCCGCCGAACCACGACGGAAGTATTTTTTTAATGGGGGGGGTCAACGTTTCAAGTGTTTTCGACCGAGGTTTCGACTAGGTCAGGATCATTATTATTTATTCCGCCGAAATCGTATAATCTTTTTTCCGTTAATTATAGAGTGCATTGTTCTACACATCAACAGCGTCCGCATATTCACAGAGCCGTTGATCGCAAGGTCGAGGTCCTTTCCACATGGCTTCGATCGCTTTCCAGACAACATATAGGGGTATAGACCCCAGTTTCCAGGAATACAGAGCTGAGACGAAAAGAGGATTCAATGATCCTCTAGTTAGACCAGGCATTATAAAACGATTTACCCTGGAATGAAGCAATTTCCTCGTACAGGACCAATTTTAATGCCATTTTTTGGTTAATCTGTGACCGTATATAGGAAATAACTCCCGCATTTTTTTGTCAGGAAATGCATCGCAGGTGCATCTGACAGATCATCGCGCCCGGCAAACCTGCCAAAATGAATGAAAATATAAAAACACTAAAAAAAGCATTCGTAGTTAGTCGAACTGAAAAAAAAAAAAAATAAATAGTGGTTTGAAAAACTAGAAAAACACCCTTTTATATAGCCAAACTGAAAAGAAGTAGAATATAAAATAATGAAAGTGATAAATGCACAACACAGAATGTACTGATTACGGAGGTGCGAATATTTTCTATGTTGTGAATTTATCAACACACATTAAATTTGCTATTTTATTTTCTACTTTTTTTTAGTTTGGCTTTCTATGAAAGGGTGTATCTTTAGTTTTTTAAACTACTATTTACTACATTAGAAGCACTTTCAATCGTTCGATTGATTTGAAATTTGGCAAGGTAATATAATTTCATTGAGGTATTGGTTTTGACATTAACAAAAAAAACCTCGAAAAAACAAAACAAAATGGCGGATCCAATATAATGCCGGAAGATTTTTGTGATTATGGTCCGATTCGATTCAAAATTGGTATATAGAGCTTTTCGGGGCTGGAGATTATGATTCTCTTGTCCAAATTGGAAAACTGAACTATGGCAGAACTATAATTTTTGATGCCTACCGAAAATAAAAAAAGGCGTGACTTTTTTCCTATGGTGTTACTGAAAAAAATTCAAAAAACCGCATTCAATTTGAACCTGTACGAGAAGAATGCATTATTTTTTTCTAGATTGCTTGGTCTAAGTCTGTTTACCTGCGGCGGGTCAGCCGTCAGATTTTGGTGAAAAAAAAACGGCCGCTGGAGTCGGTGGAGTTGCCTTTCAGATGAACGAACTCTGTGGTTTGGCTCGGTTCATTCATAGTGTGGTAGGTATACAGGGTGTCCCAAGATATTGTATACAATTAATATCGAGCTTATTTATGAAGATAAAGAATCAAAAACTCTGTTTATTGGCATTTCAAAACAAAAAAAGTAAGCTGACGAACTAGTTACAAGAGCACAGGGCGAAAATTCATACAGTCTACTCCACCAAAACTATGATACTGTAATGTAAGCAATTCATAGAAGGGACATGTTTTGAAGCTTCATAGTTTAATAAGTTACATAGGAGCACTAAAAAGGAAAACATAGCATAATGTCAGATAAAAGTCTTCAACAACGACAGTTCTAAAAAAATCACCTGTTATGGAGGAAAAAAGTTGTGATCACATATTTATAAAAACAAAAATGAAAATTGTTGGAACAACAGGAGACCTCAAAATGCGGTTTCAACAATTTTCATTTTTGTTATTATAAATATGTGAACACAGTCCATAACATGTGAGTTTTTTAAAACTGTCGTTGCATCCTTACCTATTCACGAAACGACGAAGGTCATTTCCACTTGAATGGCATTATTATATTTATGCATATAATAGCGTTATTTGGCATGAACACTCCTAACCACTTCATTTTGTTGGCCTTTTCACATTTTTACTTGGTATCTCGAACAAAGCTCTCCAATCTCGAATGACAATGAGTGACAGGTTAACAGTGAGAAAATTTGTCAACAAATAATGTAGGTTATGTTGAATAGCTCATTTGACACAGGAAATAGATGACGCCACATGCCGTCCCTTCGAAATTTCATTACAGGGCGATCTGGCGATTTTCGCTGAATGAACAGTCATGTATAATCCGTCAGACAGTCCAGATATTTAGCCGTCATTGGTCTGACATTATGCTTTGTTTCATGTAACTTATTACAGATGATGAAGCTTTGAAGCATCGAAACATGTCCCTTCTATGAATTACTAACATTAAAGTATAGTTTTGGTGGAGTAGACTGTATGAATTTTCGCCGTCCTATTACACTCCACTGTTAGATGGATGGATCGCCTCAGTTAGTTACAAGAGCAACAACTACCCTGTCGGACCGAGGTTCTGAGGGCACGAGCCGTCACTGCAGTATTGTCAACTTTTGAACGCCCGCTTATTGAGTTTAGCGTAAATCAACATCAATGCCTGAGATGGCTTCATGCAAAATTTGGAAAAGTCCCAGCATTAATGTCGACAGCTATACGGCCTTATAGTATGAGTAGGATTGTCGATAACAAGTTACGAATTTTTGATTACACAAGCCGGAGGGAGCCCCTGTAGCACGGGGGCCCGGTATCACTGATAAGGCTGTAGCTACCTAAGCCCCCGACAGGGTGGGCCAAATTCGACACTTCTAATTCTAATTCTCAAACTAGTTAGAAGAAAACGGATGTAGGTGCCTGAGCGTCGATTCTCATGCAATAATTAATGGGGAATACCGCATATTGATATATCCCTTTGTTTCGGAGTTACAAGGCATTTTTGAAAAGTGTTCAAGAATATAACTTGGTTTACTTAATGGAAAACGAGATGGAAAAGTTCTATTTCGAAACTAGGTATATGATGATTGATTTCAGTGCCTGAAGATCAATTTTCATGACAAACACAATGATTTGGAGATATTTTCAGGTGGGCGTAGAATTTTTGTCAAAAAAATGAGTTATGCAGTTTTCACCATAGAGTTTGTCATCTTAAATGATCAACAGACACAGACATCAGTTTTTTTCTATCTAGTACAGGAACAGGACTTCCCTTTTAAAAGTGTCCAATTTGGCCCACCCTGTACAGTGCTCTGAGGAGCAAGCAGTTTGCGACAGTGAAATAGTATGGGTTAGTGCCTCAAAATGTTGTAATAAAATTGTTCACTGAATTGTTTGCAGTATTCAAACAGGTATGAAATATGAAACTAAAAGTTCTACTTCTGGCAACACTGGCAACCTATATCGATTTCACAGTCACCGAGATAATTATCAGGTGGGAGTACTGTATGTTACTGACCTACCACTTGAATCCATTTATTTTCAACATTTAGCTGAATAAAACCCTTAGAACCCAACATGTATAAAATAAAACGCACAAGACGATACAAATATCGATACACATCAAATAGTATAGTGCCTACGAGCCCAAAAATGGTCAGATACTTCCCCTTCTGAGTAAAAGCAAATCCTTTTGAACAGGCATAGAGTAAGTAGAAATGAAGAGATTCAGGGGCAGACCCACCCCTGAAACCCGCGGAGACACCCCCACCCCCTTCTCGAAGGGGTGGTGCGCACAGTTGCATATAAATATTATTTTCTCAAAAACGGTGAGAGATAGAGATTTGCGATTTACGCCATTCGAAAGAAAATTGAATTTTACATCTGATAGATATTTTTTGATTGATCAAAAATCTCAATGTCAGCTCCCAATAAAAAATATATGGGAGGAGGGAGTTCTAGGCTGTCATGTTTTTCCTCATAACTATTAAACGGCCCAAAGAATCGAAAAATTGAACGAGAGAAAAAATGAAGCTTGCAGTTTTTTCTATCGAACGATATATATAAAGTTGGAGATATCTATATAGAGAAGGCATCCAGTGGCGTACGAACACATGCGCGTTTGGTAGAATAACGTGTGAAAAATGATAAAAAATACCTACCTACCTGCCGTTTGTGCATGCTAAGCATGCAACGTGAGAAATGAACATTTTACTATATGACGTGAGAGGAAGAAGTTGATTTACTCATCACACAGACTATTATGTAGGATACTACTTGGATTCAAGAAGGAATATGGAAAATCTAACAATAAAGGTACAACAATTTAAACATTTTTATTGTAATAAAAACAATCTAAAAGCATTAAAATTGACTCATCAACTCCGAAAACTACATAAAACAATCTGAGAACATAAAAATTAACTCATCAACTCTGAAAATAAAATGATACAAATATAAAATCAGGTACTACAGCGTTAATTGCAGCATTCCTTACAGGTACATAATTGTGTTCATTTTAATTTCCTCAGGAAACATTTGCATTTACGATCAGAAATTTTACATTGGCAGTTAATCATTATATCTGTATTTCCAATCTTTCGTTCTTGATAGTTGTCCAGAGTGGTATCCATTTTTCTTCTTCCAATGTCCATCCCCATTGGACGATTGTGAAGTGTCAGCTCTATGAATACATCTGTTACGGCAGAAAAAACATCCCATGCTTCCCAACATTATCTTTTTCCTTTTCCGAAGAAGGCTAATGTTACATCGCACCCAGTGAAAGCGTGAAACATTGGCAGACCCAGGCATTTCTCTTTCAATTCATCAGAAATTTCTACGCAAGAAATGTACTTCATATTCTTTCCCGTACCAAACTCTATCCAAATATCCTGCTCTTGATGCTGATACTGATAGAAAATTGCGAGAATGATCACATCAGTATCCACAGTTTTTATCAAGATTCTTTTCAAATTATTTTCCATACAATTTTGAGTATGAACAAAAATCCAAGTATCAGCTTCCTCATGGTTGCTAACACCAGTTATTTTATTGATTCCTAGGGATCCACTATTGTAAAGTATTTCCTCAATTGTATTACATACTACTACTGTATTCTCGAGAAATGGCATGTCTTTGAGGTGGTTGGAAATTAAATCGAACAATTATTTCTTATTTTCTGAGTCTCTCAAGAAGTCATTCCAATTTCGTGGAATGCTGGTGTTTTCTCTCACCAATTTCCTGTTCCCTTCTCCCCTCTTTTCTCTTGTACTTGCCTTCAAGCTCTTATCAATATGAAAATCCCAGATTACATCAATCCTCTTAGAGATATCTAAAATTCTTAGAATATAAGGCTTTACAATAAGAGAGATATATTCCTGAAAAGTACAGCAAGCCTTGGGTTGTAGTATATGTACTAATGCAGCACCATCAATCAATACAGCATCAACATCGGTTGGTCTACTCTCAACTGTTATGTATTTGTCGAAGCATCGTAATAAATCTGATTCCGTGCCATGGTACATTTGACCAAGTTGAGCGAGTGAGGGTGGATAAGGATGATATTCTGTGACACAAAGTAAAGTCTACTGATAAAAGAAACATCTGATTTTAATTCTTTCACTTTACTTAATTTATTCTGCTTATTTTTTTATTTTTGAAGGGAATGTTATTATTTTCAGTGATTGGTTCAGAAATTGATTTTTTCGAGTGCATCAACCTATCATGGAAAAATTTTCTGCATTGATGGACGCCTTTATCTAATAACAGTCTCAAACATTCGTCATTCACGACAATTCTACTATCTAGAGCGAATAATTCAGTTGAGGTTTCCTGGAACGGATTACCATATGTTTTGAAGGTATCTGATCCCAATGAAGATGGACATTGGAGGAAGAAAAATGGATACCACTCTGGACAATTATCAAGAACGAAAGATTGGGAACAGATATAATGATTAAATGCCAATGTGAAATTTGTGATCATAAATGCAAATGTTTCCTGAGGAAATTAAAATGTACACAACTATGTACCTGTAAGGAATGCTGCAATTAGCGCTGTAGTACCTGATTTTATATTTGTTTTATTTCATTAGTTAATTTTTATGTTCTCAGATTGTTTCATGTAGTTTTTGGAGTTGATGAGTCAATTTTAATGCTTTTAGATTGTTTTTATTACAATAATAATGTTTAAATTGTTGTACCTTCATTGTTAGATTTTCCACATTCCTTCTTGAATCCAAGTAGTATCCTACATAATTATTAGTCTGTGTGATGAGTAAATCAACTTCTTGCCCTCACGTCATATAGTAAAATGTTCATTTCTCACGTTCCATGCACAAACGGTAGGTAGGTAGGTATTTTTTATCATTTTTCACAGGTTATTCTACCAAACGCGCATGTGTTCGTACGCCACTGGATGCCTTCTCTATATAGATATCTCCAACTTTATATATATCGTTCGATAGAAAAAACTGCAAGCTTCATTTTTTCTCTCGTTTGATTTTTCGATTCTTTGGGCCGTTTAATAGTTATGAGGAAAAACATGACAGCCTAGAACTCCCTCCTCCCATATATTTTTTATTGGGAGCTGACATTGAGATTTTTGATCAATCAAAAAATATCTATCAGATGTAAAATTCAATTTTCTTTCGAATGGCGTAAATCGCAAATCTCTATCTCTCACCGTTTTTGAGAAAATAATATTTATATGCAACTGTGCGCACCACCCCTTCGAGAAGGGGGTGGGGGTGTCTCCGCGGGTTTCAGGGGTGGGTCTGCCCCTGAATCTCTTCATTTCTACTTACTCTATGCCTGTTCAAAAGGATTTGCTTTTACTCAGAAGGGGAAGTATCGACCATCGTAGGACCTTAGCTAAAAGAGAAAAACTCAAAGTCGTCTCCAAAAGTTTGATGGCGATATGTGCAGGCAAATCTGCTTTTACTTTTGAGACATGTTTCGACCATTCAAATGGTCATCATCAGTCATAGTACAGAATAAAGGTGATCTACACCTGTTCTCCACCTTGGCCCTCCAGGCAGCATTCCAGACTTCGCGGATTCTCACGTCCACAAGATTTCCGAGTCTTTTAAACTCGTTTCGAGACTTGGCCGTCTTCAGACGCTGCCAGGTTCGTCTGGTGCGTTTCCGCAATGCAATGAGGTCGTGAATATCTGCTGGAAGGTAGTCCCTGGTACAAGAGTCTCAGGATCAGGTTCCTCTGCTGTCCGAACACGCTCGATCGCCAAGCCGTCAAGCAGAGAAGGATGAATAATATATATATGTGTGCATGCATGAGTTGATGTGCCGTTTTTGTCGTGTGGTTCATAGGATAGGTAAGCAACTACTTTCAAAACTGAAGATTTTTTAAATCCGAAAAGAGGATGCACTAGCGGAGAAGAGAAATGCGTTAGTTAAATTCTACTAAATAAATGCAATCATTGATGAACCGTTAAAATCAAAATTCAGTACCTAATTTAGTATACAGTATGTCTCACTAAGTTGGGACCGTATAGAAAACAATTTTTTTATTATTCATTTTAGGAAAAAAAGTTATTCTTCATAAAAACTTCTTCATGTTCTGAAACCTGAAATACAATCATCCGATATCAAATTTTTCCAGTCGTATACACGGTGCGTCACAAAAAGTGAATTGTACCCATCAAGAGTAAAGTGTATTATTTATACAGGGTAACTCACGGTCGATGGTACGTTAGACGTTTATGGAGAACGCAACGCAGGATTTTTCTGAAAATTTCGCACATTACATTTTATGACCTGTTCTATCGATCTAAAATATTTTCGAAATTGCGACGTTGCCGTTTCTATCTAAAAGTATCAACAACTTTGTTATTTCAAACGGAATACCCTGTATTGTAGCATCTAATCAGTTAAAAACTTGTGACAATTTAGAGAGAGAGAGAGCAAAACTTCAGGAGAGGATTAACTCCGATTTGAATCGTGCTCACACGGCAGAACAACTCGATATAATCAAAAAAGGTTGGCTCTCAATCATATCTACTCTTGAAGCAATGGAAGCCAATAAACAATTGTTAGATTCCAAGTCCGTATCCACTCCCACATCCACTCCCACATCCACTCCCAGATCAAAGAGGAAAATAGAGCCTCAGCAAAGAAACCTATTCTCAACCAAAAAAAAGCGGGTTATTGAGAAACGGAGTCGATTCTGCCTGCCAACGCAGGAGGAAAAAAATAATATTGCCAATCAACTCCTGAGATTTTCAGATGAGTAGAAATATACAGGGTGGCCAATTAGTGTCGCAAAGTCCAATATCATCGTTGCTGTGGGATTTAGAAGAGAACTCAAAATTTCAAAAATGAAGACCCACTTGCATGCCATATTTCAAAATCATTTTGGAATATACTGGATGACCTAGAAATGCAGGGCGCACCAAACATATGTTTTTTTCAATGGAACACCCTGTATTTTAATGCAGTTTCAGATTCTCCCTGAAGAGCTGATTTCATCCACCTATTAGACTTTGAGTCTAGCGGAAATGATTACAGAGATACAGGGTGTGAAAAATCGAGATTTTTCAACTTTAGGAATTTTTTGTGTCGCAACTATTCATTATTGGTCAAAACGGCTCACATGTCCCTACCTTAACTATCTCAACTTTTGATTTACTACTATCAATTTAATTGGAACATATACAGGGTGTTTCAGAATTCTGAATTCTGCACCACCCTGTATTTGTTTCAACTAAATGTCAGTAGATAGTAGATTAAAAGTTAAGACAGGGACATGCAAGCCGTTTTGACCAAAAATGAATAGTTTCGACACAAAAAATTCCTAAAGGTAAAAAATTTCGATTTTTCACACCCTATTTCTCTGCTAGACCCCAAGAGTGATGTATCAATGAAATCAGCTCTCCGGGAGTATCTGAAAATGAAATGGAATACAGGGTGTTCCGTTGAAAAAAAACATGAATATTTGGTGCGCTCTGCATTTTTAGGTCATCAAGTATATTCCAAAATGATTTTGAAATATTGCATGCAAGTATGTTTATTTTTGTAATTTGAAGTTTTCTTCTAAATCCCATAGCAACGAAGATATTGGACCTTGCGGCACTAATTGGGCACCCCGTATATATATTTTTTAGTCTTCTATGTTTATATATTTTTTTCTAGTCTTTTTTATTTTAAATATTCTTTCTATGGTCTCCTTTGTTTTATATATATTTTTTTGTTTTCTTTGTTTGTATGTGATACAATTTTAATTTTATTTCTTATGTTATATGGAAGGAATATATTTGTTTTGTTTGAGTTAAAAATATATATATATATATATATTTCAGTAGGCATATATAGTTTAACTTCTTCTATAGAATTCTGAAATCTGAACCACCCTGTATTTCTTTAAATTAAATGACAGTATTAGTGAATTGAAAGTTAGGATAGGGACATATAAGCCGTGTGTCGGTTTTTCACACTCTATATCTCGAGCTTGATGGATCGACGAAATCAACTCATCAGGAGAATCGAAAAATGTAATAAAATAGGATAAGGTGTTCCATTGGTACCAGTGGTTCGGAATCCACTATAAACTGTAGGTTCTCCGTCACTTTAACTCGGACAAGCCCTTCGAGGGCTTATGAGGGTTGCTTCGGCAGCTAAAGTGAGGGGTTACAATATATACAATACAATATATACAATATAATATATATTATATACAGTTAAATAGTAGGTATATACTACTTTATAGTTGAAGTGGCAAAAGTGCATTATCGAAAATATTTTAAATAAAATGAGCGTCATCGCAAACAAAACATAAGCGTAGTACATAGTTTCATGATTTTCGTATGAGGTTCTCGATATACCCATGGTACCAACATGTAGGGCTCGTCGTGACATACCCTGTATGTAACGAAGTATTGCAATTCAATCAGCCCTTACATTATCTGGTAGGTCGCAGTATATCAGTTGATGCACATGCACAAATAGTTCTAATTGATTCGGAAAAAAATTATGGTTAAAATGTGGAATATGGTCAACAAAACTGTTGGTGGCCCACCCTGTACAATTCAAATAGACCGGCCGTGAATGAACGCACTCATAAAAAGCCTGTTAACGTCTCCGATCGCCCGTCGCCCGTCGCGCTATCGCCATATTGCCAAACGGTAGGCCGGTGGGGAGACCGTCTCCCTCCCTAGCGCTTGGCGATCGGGCGTGTTCGGACAGCAGAGGAACCTGATCCTGAGACTCTTGTGTCCCTGGTGGAGTAGATAGTATAGTTGCGTTTCATTTGTTCCATTCTGGTAGCAGTGGTGGAAACAGAATGACGTTTGCGAGGACGTTCGCAAATAAAACGAGTAATTTCTTGACCTCTTGCATGAGAGAATTGACATATTATAGATGATACGGTTATATTTATGTATTGGGGCTCCGAATAATTTCAAAATCAGAATACTAGAGTTAAGAACTCAGAAAATGAATCAACGCATATTTGGAGCAATGATTGCGGTGATTGGACAAACTTTGCTGAGGTCGAGAGTATTCATTTTATC